TAATGTTGTTAGATTGAACTGTAAAACTTTTTTTTATAGCACAAAAGAACTACATTACTGTGTTTGCAACTGGTTTTATTTTCCAAACCCAAAAAGGTGAAATGCAAATGTAAGGTAGAAGTTTACATTTAGGTTGGATGTAAAATGTAAATCTTGATTACCTAAACGGTAGGTCCTTGCCAAAAATTGCATCCCCTGCTTTTTTCCAGAAATATAGATTTGTAGCTGATGTTTCAATTTCTACCTGCTTCCACATGTGTGCTGAGCTACCAGTGTGAATTTCATGTGTGTGGGACAATTTTTAAGTTAAAAACAAGGGGGATGCATTTTTTGGCAGGTCCTTGCCAAAAATTGCATCCCCTGCTTTTTTCCAGAAATATAGATTTGTAGCTGATGTTTCAATTTCTACCTGCTTCCACATGTGTGCTGAGCTACCAGTGTGAATTTCATGTGTGTGGGACAATCTTTAAGTTAAAAACAAGGGGGATGCATTTTTTGGCAGGTCCTTGCCAAAAATTGCATCCCCTGCTTTTTTCCAGAAATATAGATTTGTAGCTGATGTTTCAATTTCTACCTGCTTCCACATGTGTGCTGAGCTACCAGTGTGAATTTCATGTGTGTGGGACAATTTTTAAGTTAAAAACAAGGGGGATGCATTTTTTGGCAGGTCCTTGCCAAAAATTGCATCCCCTGCTTTTTTCCAGAAATATACACTTGTAGCTGATGTGACAAATTCTACCTGCTTCCACATGTGTGCTGAGGTACCAGTGTGAATTTCATGTGTGTGGGACAATCTTTAAGTTAAAAACAAGGGGATGCATTTTTTGGCAGGTCTTTGCCAAAAATTGCATCCCCTGCTTTTTTCCAGAAATATAGATTTGTAGCTGATGTTTCAATTTCTACCTGCTTCCACATGTGTGCTGAGCTACCAGTGTGAATTTCATGTGTGTGGGACAATCTTTAAGTTAAAAACAAGGGGGATGCATTTTTTGGCAGGTCCTTGCCAAAAATTGCATCCCCTGCTTTTTTCCAGAAATATAGATTTGTAGCTGATGTTTCAATTTCTACCTGCTTCCACATGTGTGCTGAGCTACCAGTGTGAATTTCATGTGTGTGGGACAATTTTTAAGTTAAAAACAAGGGGGATGCATTTTTTGGCAGGTCCTTAGGTTAAAAACAAGGGGGATGCATTTTTTGGCAGGTCCTTGCCAAAAATTGCATCCCCTGCTTTTTTCCAGAAATATAGATTTGTAGCTGATGTTTCAATTTCTACCTGCTTCCACATGTGTGCTGAGCTACCAGTGTGAATTTCATGTGTGTGGGACAATTTTTAAGTTAAAAACAAGGGGGATGCATTTTTTGGCAGGTCCTTGCCAAAAATTGCATCCCCTGCTTTTTTCCAGAAATATAGATTTGTAGCTGATGTTTCAATTTATACCTGCTTCCACATGTGTGCTGAGCTACCAGTGTGAATTTCATGTGTGTGGGACAATTTTTAAGTAAAAAACAAGGGGGATGCATTTTTTGGCAGGTCCTTGCCAAAAATTGCATCCCCTGCTTTTTTCCAGAAATATAGATTTGTAGCTGATGTGACAAATTCTACCTGCTTCCACATGTGTGCTGAGCTACCAGTGTGAATTTCATGTGTGTGGGACAATCTTTAAGTTAAAAACAAGGGGGATGCATTTTTTTGGCAGGTCCTTGCCAAAAATTGCATCCCCTGCTTTTTTCCAGAAATATAGATTTGTAGCTGATGTTTCAATTTCTACCTGCTTCCACATGTGTGCTGAGCTACCAGTGTGAATTTCATGTGTGTGGGACAATCTTTAAGTTAAAAACAAGGGGGATGCATTTTTTGGCAGGTCCTTGCCAAAAATTGCATCCCCTGCTTTTTTCCAGAAATATAGATTTGTAGCTGATGTTTCAATTTCTACCTGCTTCCACATGTGTGCTGAGCTACCAGTGTGAATTTCATGTGTGTGGGACAATTTTTAAGTTAAAAACAAGGGGGATGCATTTTTTGGCAGGTCCTTAGGTTAAAAACAAGGGGGATGCATTTTTTGGCAGGTCCTTGCCAAAAATTGCATCCCCTGCTTTTTTCCAGAAATATAGATTTGTAGCTGATGTTTCAATTTCTACCTGCTTCCACATGTGTGCTGAGCTACCAGTGTGAATTTCATGTGTGTGGGACAATCTTTAAGTAAAAAACAAGGGGGATGCATTTTTTGGCAGGTCCTTGCCAAAAATTGCATCCCCTGCTTTTTTCCAGAAATATAGATTTGTAGCTGATGTTTCAATTTCTACCTGCTTCCACATGTGTGCTGAGGTACCAGTGTGAATTTCATGTGTGTGGGACAATTTTTAAGTTAAAAACAAGGGGGATGCATTTTTTGGCAGGTCCTTGCCAAAAATTGCATCCCCTGCTTTTATCCAGAAATATACACTTGTAGCTGATGTGACAAATTCTACCTGCTTCCACATGTGTGCTGAGCTACCAGTGTGAATTTCATGTGTGTGGGACAATCTTTAAGTTAAAAACAAGGGGGATGCATTTTTTGGCAGGTCCTTGCCAAAAATTGCATCCCCTGCTTTTTTCCAGAAATATAGATTTGTAGCTGATGTTTCAATTTCTACCTGCTTCCACATGTGTGCTGAGCTACCAGTGTGAATTTCATGTGTGTGGGACAATTTTTAGGTTAAAAACAAGGGGGATGCATTTTTTGGCAGGTCCTTGCCAAAAATTGCATCCCCTGCTTTTTTCCAGAAATATAGATTTGTAGCTGATGTTTCAATTTCTACCTGCTTCCACATGTGTGCTGAGCTACCAGTGTGAATTTCATGTGTGTGGGACAATCTTTAAGTTAAAAACAAGGGGGATGCATTTTTTGGCAGGTCCTTGCCAAAAATTGCATCCCCTGCTTTTTTCCAGAAATATAGATTTGTAGCTGATGTTTCAATTTCTACCTGCTTCCACATGTGTGCTGAGCTACCAGTGTGAATTTCATGTGTGTGGGACAATTTTTAAGTTAAAAACAAGGGGGATGCATTTTTTGGCAGGTCCTTGCCAAAAATTGCATCCCCTGCTTTTTTCCAGAAATATAGATTTGTAGCTGATGTTTCAATTTCTACCTGCTTCCACATGTGTGCTGAGCTACCAGTGTGAATTTCATGTGTGTGGGACAATTTTTAAGTTAAAAACAAGGGGGATGCATTTTTTGGCAGGTCCTTAGGTTAAAAACAAGGGGGATGCATTTTTTGGCAGGTCCTTGCCAAAAATTGCATCCCCTGCTTTTTTCCAGAAATATAGATTTGTAGCTGATGTTTCAATTTCTACCTGCTTCCACATGTGTGCTGAGCTACCAGTGTGAATTTCATGTGTGTGGGACAATTTTTAAGTTAAAAACAAGGGGGATGCATTTTTTGGCAGGTCCTTAGGTTAAAAACAAGGGGGATGCATTTTTTGGCAGGTCCTTGCCAAAAATTGCATCCCCTGCTTTTTTCCAGAAATATACAGTTGTAGCTGATGTGACAAATTCTACCTGCTTCCACATGTGTGCTGAGCTACCAGTGTGAATTTCATGTGTGTGGGACAATCTTTAAGTTAAAAACAAGGGGGATGCATTTTTTGGCAGGTCCTTGCCAAAAATTGCATCCCCTGCTTTTTTCCAGAAATATAGATTTGTAGCTGATGTTTCAATTTCTACCTGCTTCCACATGTGTGCTGAGGTACCAGTGTGAATTTCATGTGTGTGGGACAATTTTTAAGTTAAAAACAAGGGGGATGCATTTTTTGGCAGGTCCTTGCCAAAAATTGCATCCCCTGCTTTTTTCCAGAAATATAGATTTGTAGCTGATGTGACAAATTCTACCTGCTTCCACATGTGTGCTGAGCTACCAGTGTGAATTTCATGTGTGTGGGACAATTTTTAAGTTAAAAACAAGGGGGATGCATTTTTTGGCAGGTCCTTAGGTTAAAAACAAGGGGGATGCATTTTTTGGCAGGTCTTTGCCAAAAATTGCATCCCCTGCTTTTTTCCAGAAATATAGATTTGTAGCTGATGTTTCAATTTCTACCTGCTTCCACATGTGTGCTGAGCTACCAGTGTGAATTTCATGTGTGTGGGACAATTTTTAAGTTAAAAACAAGGGGGATGCACTTTTTGGCAGGTCCTTAGGTTAAAAACAAGGGGGATGCATTTTTTGGCAGGTCCTTGCCAAAAATTCCATCCCCTGCTATCTCAGAGGAGTTGACACTTGTACATCTGTATTCCTGTATATTCATCAGTAATTAAGTACAAGGATCAGCAAATGCAAATACTGCCCTGTAAAACAATGACAGTGCAATTGTTGCTTCATATGATCTGAAGCCCCGCTTGGAGCTTTTAAACAGGATTTTAAAAAACTTTGATAAATTGCTGCTGTAATATTATAGATTTTTTTGAATAAAAAGCTAGCAGATGTGCATAAACAAACAAAAAAAATACAATACAGTTCAGTAAAAATACAGTTCTGTTTTATGCCTCATTCTTGTAAGTTTAAAATGTTCCAATGCTCCTGAATGCACCATAGCTTTCTGACGCGCAGCGAGCGCATCTCACTGGTCTGTGAACGCTGTGCTATGTAGATGCGCGTTTGATTTTCCACTTAAGAGAAAGCTTTGCAAACTCAAAACTCACTTTGGCTATCACGGTTTAGTGTTGTGTGTAAATAGCAAGAGACCACAACAAATAAATCAGCCGTACCATGGTCAAAATCTTTGGATTTAATGTTGTTCAGAAAAACCGTACTTTTGTAAATTAATCTGCCAAATAACCACAACTTTTTTTCCCACGAGAGGTATTTTTAAACGTTTTTATATCATTAATATAAGAACCTAAGCTCCATTGAACATATTTTAATCCGTTTTCCTCGTCGATATGCAGTTCAACAGAGCGAGGCGCGCTCCCGCGACTGGGGATGCATATTTCGGCAGGCATGCACTTTTGGGCATAACACCGTTGAAGGTAAACAACATGGCGATAATAGTGTTAGATTTTCTTCTGTTTATCTTCATGCTGTTTCAGCTTAATATTTCAGAGTCTCTAACGAAAAAAAAGAAAAATCCAGCTCATCACCAGTGAGGACAAGCAAATTTTAAAAATGTCAACGGAATAATGTTTTAAAAGAACAATCATCGACTCAGACTGCTGGATATCAGCTGGAAGAGTCAAATAATCTCCAGAACCTGCAGGTAGGTCCGCTGGTCTAAATTTGATATATACGGGAACTAGTTGATCCCGCGGAAGGACATCGGACACGTTTTGTTATAGATCAGTGTTTCGCTTTATCTATTTTTTTTTCTAGGCTTCTGTCTGATTTCTGTTTTAATATTATATGTTGATTTTTCTTCTTTCCCTTCAGCTGTTCCAGTTTTCCTCCACTCACATGCATGTCTTCCTATCTTCTTTCTTTCTCCTCTTTTATCGATCTTACTCTATTCTAAAACAGATAAATCCCTTCCAAAAACATTAGAATGTACAACAGGAAAACATATTATTATTATTATTATTATTATTATTATTATTATTATTATTATTATTATTAATAATCATAATTATTATCTCATCTGATCAAATACTAAAAATACTAATTAATATTTATTGTGGATAATATTTGGAGCTAGGAGCAAAAACTGCATAATAAATGAACATTAGATAGATAGTTTTCTTTTATGCCATAATTTTGAGATGTTGCAGATCGTGTCTGAGTTTTCCTGTTACTGAAACCTGTTTTTCATGAGAAATGTTCTTCTATCCCAACTAAGTAGTAGAAAAGCACACAAAGCCTTGAGGTCTATGCTCATAAACCACAACCATAAATCAGAAAAACAACTTAAAATTACTAACCTAATAAAATATAAACTTATGGTAACCAATCAGTTCTAAAACATCTTTGAATGAACTCTTGTTGATCTTTTGAGAACCACCAAACCAGATTAGCGCCTTACAAGGAGTTTTCAATCCGAGTCATAAAGCAGAAAACTTGTCTTACTTCCTTTTATTGATTATTTTATAAACTGGACATGAAGCAAACATTTATCACATAATCAGCTAAATCCAAAGGAAATGAATCGATTAACGGGCTTACCATAACACAAGACATCAGTTTTGATAACAAACCTCCGCTTTTACTTCTTCGTCTGTTTAAAGAGTGATGTGCTCTTTTTCTTCTTTGTGTGTTAATAGCAGCTAAGATCCATAAGGATAATCACAGTCCAACAAGCAGTGCCCTCTTTTAATCATCTTTATGTTAACAGCGGCGTAATAAGCTACCATAATAGCTGCTTCTGCCCGAAACATGCTCACGTGCCTTTCTACTGTAGTAACATTTCCCCCCTCATTCATAAAACAGTCATATTGAGGACATTTCCGGGGACAGGTTTAAGACAGGTGGTCCAAAAAAGGAACTGACCTTGAAAATCAGGGACATCTGGCCGCCTTTCCCCTGTGGTGCTCCTGTGCTGCCGACTACTTGATCAGACGATTGACCGTTCAGTCTAGTGATGGCAATTTGACACAGTTGGCCAAAACTCAACATCATGCTCTATACTAGGCATCCCCAAACTCGGTCCTCGAGGGCCGCTGTCCTGCAGGTTTTAGAGGTTTCCCTGCTTTAGCACAGCTGATTATGATGATTGCAGTAGAGCAAAAGCCTGTTAATCAACTATCAATTAAAATCAGCTGTGCTGGAGCAGAGAAACATCTAAAACCTGCAGGACAGCGGCTCTCGAGGACCGAGTTTGGGGATGCCTGCTCTATACGTTTGATACATTTTGGAATGGTGGCATCTGCTGGATGCTATCAGAACTACTATTGTGCGGGTATCCTAATGTCCGCATTATTTCATGATTGAAATCGTTTGTTCCATAACAGTAGTGTTTATAATAATATTAATAGATAATAAACATTCAAATGTCTGAATTGTGAAATTGCCATATTATAACATATAATAAAAGAATTTAAAATCCTCCTTCTCACATATAAAGCCTTAAATGGCCAAGCTCCATCTGATATCAGAGATCTGATTGTTCCTTATATTCCTAACAGACCACTTCGCTCTCAATCTGCAGGTTTACTAGTGGTTCCTAGAATTTCTAAAAGTAGAATGGGAGGCAGATCTTTTAGTTATCAGGCTCCTCTCCTGTGGAACCAACTACCAGTTTTAGTCCGTGAGGCAGACACCCTGTCTACTTTTAAGGCTAGGCTTAAAACTCTCCTTTTTGATCAAGCTTAGCTATAGCTTCTCTATAGTTATGCTGCTATAAGCTTAGACTGCTGGAGGACATAGGGACTGCTATTTCATCATTCTGCTTTATTCTATCTCTATTCTCCCACTCTGCAGAATCTATTAGTTTAATCTCTAACGTTCTGCTCTCTCTGCTTTTTCTCATAGTAGCTTAGTAGTACATGGAGACCCCGTTTTTCAACATTTCGATTCATTCTATCTGTATTCTCATGCTCTCTCATAGTAGCTTCATCTGGTCTGTTCCTGTTTGGCTGTGACTCCATCCTGGAGAAAAATATCAGCTGTGCTGCTTCAATCAACAACTTTGTTTCTAGATGTTGGAGATCGGCCTGTTTTCCAGTGTAGTCCTGTTTCTCTGACTGTGACTGGCTGGATGTGATCTCTTCATCCTCTGACATGGAGGCTGGCTTGGAGCTCGTCTGCCTGTGATCAGCTCTGCTGATATTTCTCTCCAGGATGGAGTCACAGCCAAACAGGAGCAGACCAGATGAAGCTACTATGAGAGAGCATGAGAATACAGATAGAATGAATCGAAATGTTGAAAAACGGGGTCTCCATGTACTCCAGTTGTCTCAGCCTATAGCAGCATAACTATAGAGATAGCTCAGTATAACCTGAGCCACACTAACTATAAGCTTTATGAAAAAGGAGAGTTTTAAGCCTAGCCTTAAAAGTAGACAGGGTGTCTGCCTCACGGACTAAAACTGGTAGTTGGTTCCACAAGGGAGGAGCCTGATAACTAAAAGATCTGCCTCCCATTCTACTTTTAGAATTTCTAGGAACCACTAATAAACCTGCAGATTGAGAGCGAAGTGCTCTGTTAGGAACATAAGGAACAATCATTGGCTTCCTGAAAGCCAATGAAGAGAAGCCAGGATAGGAGAGATGTGATCTCTCTTTTCAATTTTCATCAGAACTCTGGCTGCAGCATTTTGGATCAGCAGAAGACTTTTAACTACATTTTGTGGACTTCCTGATTGTAAAGAATTACAATAGTCCAGCCTTGAAGTAACAAATGCATGGACTAGTTTCTCAGCATCACCCCTGGACAGGAGATTTCTAATTTTTGCAATATTCCACAGATGAAAGAAGGAAATTCTAAAAACGTCTTTCATAAAGAATTTAAATGACAGGTCCTGATCAAAAATACCCTCTGACCCCTCACCTTCAAATCTACAAAAATACTACACTTATCCCATTATTTATAGCAGAAGAGTAACTGAAAGGAAGAAGAAAGAATCAGAAAAGAGTTGGGAGGGAGAGAGAGCGAAGCCATAGCGATGCTAGGCTAGCGCTAGCCTAGGCTAGCTACTCCTTCCCACCAGAAATAAAACCGTATAAAAGCGACAAGTGCTTAGTAAAAATGTGCAGCATAAGGTGCTATGTTTTAAAGTTCTTCTCAGCAGTTAGAGTTACTTAGATACAGCGATATCACAGAAAAAATAACTTAATTCAGATGGGGATAGCCTGAACAGCAACAAAAGTCTTTCATAAAGAATTTTTTGACTTTGACTTTTGAAAAGTCATCTGAGCAGTCAAAACAGGAAGCGGACGTCCTACCAACAGCAGCAATAGCACCCCTTAGCGGCAGCAAACCTGCAAAGATCAGATAGCAGCCGCAGTTACCTTATAACTTTTTATTAAATTGTTTAAAAATATTTATTAAATAATGTGGATTTAGCAAATCATTTATTAAAAGTAAATATAGAACAGGCATTAAATAACCCTAGAATCAAACCATTTGCCCATAAACAGAAATACAAGTGGCCTACCAGCTAAGTGACACTTTTTGGCGGTAGCGTGCCGTTCAAAGTGCCACCGGATGTCCTGCTACCAGATGCCGCTGCCACAAATGGAGTTTGGCTCTGCTGATTTACAGCCACCTAAACCCTTCAGTAGATTACATTTGGTTTATTTTTACATAATCTTTTGTAAAACTTATTTTGAATACTTTTCTGCATCAATGTTTTTATGTTTTTATAGTGTCTTTGTCTAAATAAAAATTCTCTAGATGGCCTTAAATGCATCTTAAAAAAGTATTTATTGTTCTCCTGATGTTTGTTCCTTCAGCTGCATCATGTCTGTTACTGCATGGGAGGTTCTGGCTGACAGCTTTCTCATAATCAAAGATCACAGGACACCGAACACCAGGCTGATAAAACAGGAGCCAGAACCACAGCAGATGATTGACACCACAGAGTTGCCAGAACCGGAGCCGGTTAGAGAGGAGCAGGTTGAATTGTGGCTCCTTCAGGATGAAGGACAGCTGCTAGTGAAGCGGGAGACCAGCTCCTCTGTGGGAACACCTGAATATCCTGGACCAAAACTGCAGCTGATGAAAGGTTGGACAGAGGATCCAGAACTCGTCCAGATTAAACAGGAACAGGAGGATCTCTGCAGCAATCAGGGTGATGAACAGCTTCTGGTGAAGCAGGAGGCTGAGAGCTTCACGGTGACCCCTAACAATGAGCTGAAGGACAACTCTCAACTAGAACCAAGCCAGGACCGACTCCTCTCTGAACCAGAAACTCCACATCGGACAGTCAACGTGGACAGCTCAAAGCTAAATGCAGTTAAAACAAATGCACCCTCTTGTGACGTCTGTGGAAAGGTTTTCACTACGTTCAAGTACCTGACCGACCACACTAGAACCCACACCGGGGAAAAACCTTATCCTTGCGAATTCTGTGGAAAATGTTTCACCGACTGCAGCACCAGGGCCAAACATATGAAAACCCACACAGGAGAGAAGCCGTATGGATGTCAAGTTTGTGGGAAAGCCTTTGGTCACTGCAGTAACCTAGCTAGACATATGAGGACGCACACAGGGGAGAAGCCATACTCCTGCAGAGCATGCGGTAAATCTTTCCGTCACTGCAACACCATGGCGCGTCACATGAGAACCCACACAGGGGAGAAACCCTACAGCTGCGAAGCGTGTGAAAAATCTTTTATACAACCCAGCGACTTGGCCCGTCACCTCAGATCTCACACAGGTGAGAAGGCGTTCTCATGTTTGACCTGTGGCAAAGGTTTCACCAGGCAGTCCTCTTTGGGTGTACACATGAGAACCCACACAGGCGAGAAGCCCTACCCCTGTAAAACCTGTGGGAAGTCTTTCAGGTACAGCAGCCATTTGAGTCGTCATGAGAACGCTCACAGGTGAGACGATTTTCTGGTGTCTGATTGGTGGCGCGGGTTTGGATGGAGCCACATGATTCTTTATGATGGGATTTCAGATGAGAGTCTGTGATCTTGTGTTTTTGTGATCTTGTTTTTTTTTTTATGGAAAGCAATTTGAGACAGAAATCACAAGCTTATCTTCTTTTTCTCAGTAGAAGCTAAACCAGACCTAATGTGTAATATGAATTATATACTAAATTATTTGTTTTTGGTTCCAAGCTTCAAATCAGAAGTTGAGGCCAAAATGCTCTTTTCACAGTGAGATAAAGCCATTTTGGCCTGTGGAGTTGTAACAGACAAACCATTAATGATACAGCCATGATCTTTTCTGGCAATCATCTAGAGCTGAAAACTAACAATATAAAGTAGATTTGAGCAGATGTTTTTGGTTCCAAGCTTCAAATCAGAAGTTGAGGCCAAAATGCTCTTTTCACAGTGAGATAAAGCCATTTTGGCCTGTGGAGTTATAACAGACAAACCATTAATGATACAGCCATGATCTTTTCTGGCAATATTTTTCTGTAATGTTTTTTGTTTTGAGTATTTAAATAAGTATAGATGTATTTAATTTAATGCTTTTTCTAGATATTTTAATAACTTATTTTCTGTTAAATTATAAAACTCTTGATAAATATCTATTATATATATTATATTGTGCTGCATCTCTCGATATTTGCCTATATATAAGACATAATGTTTTTGACTTTCTCGTCTCAGAGATGTAAGAAATAAAAAAAATTCTCTGTTGTTGAAGAATAAATTGATTCTTACATTTATTCCTCTCCCAAACATGCTGCTTTAAGTTTGCAAATCATCTTTACATCACATACTCGTTCCATGGAGTGAATTAAATTTACTTGAGAAACAGGACGAAAATGAAAATAGTCTTTCCTTTGATCAGACTTTAATACAGAATCTGAAATACTCATTTTTTAATTGATCTGAGATCATTAAAAAATTAAAGCACTATTATGTGTTTGATTTCATTCCTTTACTCCTACCCAAGCTTGGAAGCTACCAAATGATTAAAGCTAAACAGAGTTATTGTGTGCTGAAAAGACGCAAATTGTTTTAACAGACATAAAACGGGATTTAATTATTCAGACACAGTTTTTTAAAGATTATTCAGAGTTTACCAGTTCACTTCCTAGATTATGAATAAGTTCTAACCCAGGATAGTGCTGCATGATACAAGGAATCATGATGGCCATAGTATTGCTTAATACAGTATTACCAAAAATGGAAGCTCATAAAAATGGAACCCTTTTTGATAAGAAAAATTCACACGTAGATGATGTAAAAATTATACATTCTGTCTCCAGAAGTCGTTGCAGTCAGTAGTTGTTTAAAATGTGAAATGATCACTTTTTCCAAGTGCTTAATCAGATGAAAAATCTTATTCTTCCACTCTTTGAGTGTCACTGGACTGAATATGATGTGATCAATCTGGGAAGCCTGAGACTCTCTGCTTTGAAACAGAGCAGACCAATCACAGCACGGGAGGTGGGAGTTTGGGCTTGCACCAGAATTTTCCATAATGCAACGGCGCCTTTCTATAGCAGCAGAGTGTCAAGTAACGAAGAAAAAATACTTTGTTACTGTACTTAAGTACTGTTTTTAGGTATTTATACTTTACTCCATTACTTATTTTTCTTCCTACTTCTGACTTCTACTCATTACATTTTCACACAAGTATCTGTACTTTCTATTCCTTACTTTTTTTAAAACAAACGTTACTCGTTACTCTTGGCTTCAGTTTAATGTTTATAAATATTTATTTCACATCATGTGCTCCATCCAATCCAGTCCACATCTAGTGAAAACTAGTCTAACTGGATGAGTCATATAACACAAACACTCATTGGTTAGCTAAAAGAAATCATCAGAAGCAAGCAGGTGTTCTTCAAACTGCTAACGTGAATTATCTATTCCATGCTACAATGTTGGATTCAGAAAAAGATGTTGAAATGTCTGAAAGGTCGGATGCAGGCAAAAGCGTATCGGGAGATGGAGACCAACAACACCTCCCTCATCCCTGGCCCTATCTCAAAGAATTTTTCCAAATACCGTATTTTCACGACCATAAGGCGCACCGTACTAAAAGGCGCAGTCCCAGTTATGTGTCACATTTCTGTATTTAACACACACATAAGGCGCACCGGACTATAGGGCGCGTTTTTTATATACAGGTACATGTCCTCTACTACCTTTAAATACCTCTACTGCATATTTAAAAATACAGTGGGGGCAAAACTGAGTATGACTGTGCTTTATTCATGTATTTATTACAAAGTATTAATCAAACCTGGCAGCTGGCCGTGAGACAGACACATCGCAGATGACTCAGCGCTGTGATCACTCCTAAATTAACTTAAAATCCTGAAACCTGCCGACGGAATATGTTCGCTTTTATTACCGGTATCCTGGTGCCTGCAGATTAAATTGTTTAGATGAAAAACACCTGCCAGCCGCCGCGGTGAGGCTGCTGTTGAAGGGATTTACTGTCGGTGCACCGCTGGTATGTGGGGGTCTGAGCGGCTCCGACAGAAATAGTATAGGCACGATAATAATCTGGATGAACTGACTGCAATTATTAAGTTTTCAGGTGGTCTTTCTCACTTAAAAACATATTAAAACTACTTTATTCCCACTGATCACAGCAAATATAGCTGCAAGATTTAGATTATTTAGATGAAAAAACACCTGCCAGCCACCGCGCTGAAGAGGAGGAGACGCGCCCAGAGGCAGCTGTTGAATTAAGTTTTCAGGTAGAAAAATAGAGCGGGAGCAAAACTGAGTATGATTGTGCTTTATTCATGTATTTATTACAAAGTATTAATCAAACCCATCAAAGTCATCATCCTCTGTTTCTGAATTAAACAGCTGCGCTAAATCAGACATGCCAATTTCCCCTTCTTCGCTGTCAGAGTCACTTTCCGTGCCGGGCGGCTCCTCAGAAATAATGCCTGCTTTTGCGAAAGCTTGAACAACTAGAGCCAGCAGACACGTTAGTCCAAGCATCTACAATCCATCCGCAAACGGTGGCGTAACTTGCCCGGCGCTGCCTTCCACTTATCCTGAAACTGTGGTCTCCGTCGGTCATCCATCGCTCCCACGCCGCTCGCAGCCTTACTTTGAACGGCCGCTTCACACTGATGTCGAGCAGTTGAAGTTCCTTTGTCAGACCCCCGGGATAACGGCGAGCACAGCTTTCATTTGATTCACCTTTTTTTCACATCGGCTGTCAGATGGGCACGCATGGAGTCACAGATTAACTGGTGATGGTGATGCGTGGAAAAAAACACCTGGTCTCCTCACATACACCTGCCTGCATCATCTCCTCATCCATCCAGCCTTTTCCATTTGCGTTAATATCATATGTCATCAGAGCGCTGTGTCTGTCTCGCTGTCAGCTCCCAGATCAGCTTCTCTGATTGGTTGATGCGGCGCGTCCAGCAGCAAAACTTCAATTTTTCCATCTCGAGCAGCAGCAGTGCGACGCGCTGCGCCTGCTGCTCAAAACGCGCTGCAGGACCTTTTGCTGCGCCTATACGCGCGTCAACCATTGACTTTGCATGTAAACTCGCTGCTTCTGCTGCACCTGCTGGGTCCGGTTCACACCGATGTCGAGCGGTTGAACAGCGAGCACAGCGTTAATTTGTTTCCCCATGTTTTTCACATCAGCTGTGAGATGGGCACGCATGGAGTCACAGATTAACAGCAATGGTGATGAGTGGAAAAAAAAACACCTGGTCTCCTTACATTCAGCCACTTTTTCATCATCTCCTCAATGAGGTGGTCTCAAAAGTCGCAGTTACAACACACATAGGGCGCACCGCACCAAAGGGCGCACCGCACATTTTGAGGGAAAAAAAAGACATTTAAGTGCGCCTTATAGTCGTGAAAATACGGTAGTCGAAAAATTTAGCTTTTAATTTATATAGTTTAAAGGTTACTTTATACTTTTATACTTAAAGTAGTTTCTGGAGCACATACTTTTTCACTTTTACTTGAGTAAAGAGGGCAAGTTGATACTTCAACTTTTACCAGAGTGTTTTAAACTGCAGTATCTATACTTCTACTTGAGTAACAAATGTGTGAAGTTTTGACACCACAGTATAGCAGACCGCAGCCTCAGCGGAGCAATGTTTATAATGTTCTATATGAGATGGTTATATTAAACCCTCAACAACTGGTGGCTGTCAGAACTTGTCTTTTAAAAGAAGATTTTTTTTGTGTCTCATCCGTAGTCCTCTGATTGGTTCAAACCGGTTCCCACCGACTCTGTTAGTGTTGCCTTTGAATCGGACTGTTTAGACCTAGCAGCCATCTTTCACTAAAATCTTATATTATGATTATTACAAACCGTTGGATTCATCCAAAATGTTGTGAGCAAACAGATTTAAGCCTGTTCATATGAAGGGAAATCCACAGCATTAGACAACAGATGACTGAAAACGCACAGGTGAGTCCAGCAGCCGGCCTCAATGCAGTGGCTATCTTTAGGTTTCTCATTGCTGCATTTTATTTAGATGAACATTTAGCTGATTTTATTCTCTGTAAATAAAGTTTTTTAAACATTTATCTACAGTTTATTATCTGGATCGGATTTGCGCTTTATATGAAACCGTCATTTCTTTTTTTGTTGCTTATTTGTTGATAAAAAATATAAAGTCAGTTTAAATCTGTGTTAATTTATTACCTGTTTTTAAAAATGTTTATTTTAAGGCTAAAGTTTTCACTCACATGGCAGATAAATAGTTCATTTATTAGACAGTTGAACCTGGTCGGTATTGGATATCTGTCGATAAACCTACCCCAGGTATCAGTATCGGATTGGATTGGAAAAAACCTGGCTCATTGGATCTCTATAGTTTACAGGGCTTAAAGTTTTCTAGTGTGGGGAAAATTAATGCGAGGGGAAAATAAACGTACAATTGTTAACGCTAAGTGTCATAGCAACACCAGAAATTAGTATAAAATAAGATTTAATAATGCTAGAATAAAGATTTATTTAAAAAAAAACCTGACCTTTTCAAAAACGTCTAAATTTCCTGTAGTTTTCAGTGAGAAATATTGTTTCTAAAAATTGAAAATAACTGAAAATGCTTTAGATTTTTTTTTTTAAATAAATTAATTGAGATTTATTGATGCAGAAATAAACATATATTCAAAGTACCTG